TGATTCGAGCTTTGGTCTTCTCTGTTATAGTTTTAAACCTTAATCACCCATTTTGCTGATTAGTCTGGCCTAGACGCCGGACAACTTTGATCTTCGTTTTTTAGCAAATTCATTGTCATCCACCGCAGGCAGCTCGGCTTAAGTGGTTAGCAATCCTGCTTCGTATTCGAGAGGTCTCCGGTTTTATTTTCAGCCTGAAGACCGGCTCAGTTTAGGCAAATACTGCGGTAAGGTAATATTTTCTGACGCAAAATAAACATACGGCTACCTCACGAAATCTGGTTATGTTTTTCTTGCCCTCTTATAGTTAATAAAGCTTGCAGTTTGGCAAGTCGTGTTTCATATTGCGATATGTCGTAAACATAACCTGTGAAGCATTTTTATGTAAACCATTTGAAGACAGTGTGATTATGCGAAAATATGAGTTCATGTCTGATAATTTTCATCGTAGTTAGAATGTGTACTCGCCGAAATTAAACTACTTAATTTAAATTCGAATGGCTGAGAGCTTATTTATATCGAATGTAGGCTCGTTAATTTGGCCAAAAATTCCTGTGTAGAAAATGGACAAATTTTAGCTTGCTAGCTTGTTATTACTATAGTTATGGACAAAAAAGTTGGCGTGTGAGTGACGTTACAATTCTAGGAAATTGGTAACAGTTCTATTAGTCATTCAATATGATAATCATTGCCAATAAAACGAGATCTTAAATCATAAACAGAACATTAATTCATAATGATGAATGCATGACTTGAACTGCTGTCCAGAGCTGAAACCTGAAATAACTGTATTCAACATGACGTGGCTTAGACTTCGCCGCGTACATTACGACCCGCTCGTAACGGTCGCCCACGCATCGAGTAGTTTACCCTTGCAAACAAACAACTTAGAGCCATTTTGACTCGCGCTGAGTAACCTCCGGTAACAGCCATTGCTGAGATTCGAGGTAATTAACTCAGCTGCCTTAAATTATGACATAATAAGATCGCGTGACAATTTCTAGCTAATAAAGTATTTTTACTGCCTGTGAACCACCGTCTGCTTATTACATACAGCAGCATTTTTTCTTTCCTAAAACCTCTGAGAACAGTCTCCAGATCCAGCGTGGCGATAAATTGGCCGTACGTTTCTCTAACCTAACCTTCGTCTTTAGCCAAGGTCTACAAGGAAGAAGGTAAATGAGGGACAGAAAGGAAACAGAAGAGGAAGAACACGGAGAAGAAAGTAAAATGAAGTCCAGCTTTGAAACTCGGAACTTAGTTTTACGTCAGAATAATTTTTGGTCAGATAATACGGGAAAGCTCAGTCAGTAGAGGACTGTCTGCTTGCCGGAGCTCGAGAATCTGGGGCAGACATTCTTCTCTTCGCCCTCGCTACCAGCCCACTCCCTTTTCGTAGAATGGACGATTAATATCTCGTAGAGCGCTCTAATCTTTCAGCTAGAAATCCCCGTCGACGTCACACAGCAAGTGCGCGGGAAGTTTTTTTTTGTATTACGTTGGCTGCAAGCTCAATTCAGTGCGCACGAAGAACCTAACGGGAAGTCCCGCTCTTGAACTTTGCATGGAAATTCATACCAAGCTAGAGTCCGAGAATCATGCTTCTGGATTCCTGGATGGAATATCGTTGATTTCCAGCCGGAATTGTTAGTGTTGTGTGAAGCTTAACAAGTGTCCCTGCACGTGTTTAAACCTATTAAATGTCGGTGGAACATGCAAATTTTGTAACTAAAAGGAAAAATTCCTTTTGTGTGCTAGAAATTTTAGTTGAAGCATATTTAACATTTTACTCCACTCATTTTCATGGAGTGACAGCCTGAGCGAAAAACATCACCCGATCATTATTGGAACATAATTGTAACAACGTAATGATGCATTGTTGGATATTCTTGCAACAGTGGGATTCGAGCTCATTGCTGGACCTCAAATTATTTCGTATCACAGTATCGCAACATTAACTTTTCCAATTTCTTTTTTAAAATTGTCTTCTGTTGTACAAAGTAAATAAAATTAACGCCAAACTGATAGGTGTCTGTCTGGTAACGCACATATTTTTCAAAGTACACGACTGATTTCTCTTATGTATGTTATTAAAAGCCTACACTAAATATAGTCGGGCGAATTCGTTTTGGTTAATACCTGTCGTTTAACTAAAGAACCATAATATGTATATCTATAGTCGAGTTTAATATTACGTGCGGCTAGTCCTTTAAATACGTTATTGGAGCCATCGGTTCCAGTTGCAATGACAACTGGTCTCCATGGTGTAAATGTATCACATGAAGACTTCTTTCCTAGGAGTCTAATTTATTTTTCTTCGAAGGTTATTACTCCTTTAAGCATGAAATCACAGGTTTTGATTTCTTACTCCATGACAGATAATTATTAGCAATGTCTGTCATCGTCATAATTAACTCCATGGATCTGAGTCTTTCTAGACAAGTTAGTAGTCGCTCATATAGTCGCCTTTTTACGGAAATCGAAAGTTCATTATGACCCCGCAATTGTCAAAATATGAAAAACAAAGCTTCGAATGGCATTATATCGACAGTGTTTTGTTTTCGCTGTTATTCATCGGAGAAATAAGAGATGCTTTCAAAATGTTAGTCGGAAAACTGAAGGAAAATTGCGTATGTGGATATTAGTACCTTCAAGTAGATGGGAGGATAATATTTTAATGAAAATTTGTTGGGTGGACGGAATATCTGGATCAGCCAAGCGACTATTAGCTTTGCTCCATGGATCATACAATTTTAGATTATTACATATACATTGGGTTTTGTCCGTTTAAAACAAAACGATTTAGTCAGTGAAGTATAAACGTTTCTGCTGTATTCTGCCTGCGGCCAGACAAGACTTTATGAATTTAAAATTGAAATTGACGCTCTTGTAGTAGGAGGTGTTGTTATTTGCGATTCGATTGTTGTGCCAAATCGATAGTAGGGGTGGTCGCTTACAGCAGAATGAAGAGTCGATTACGTGCCGACACGCTTGAAGTACGTTAAAATACAATTTCCACAGCTTTCAAGTCTAATCACTGACAAGTTCAGAAGGCCGTGTCGTTCATTCAGTGACAAATGAAATGCTGAAAATTGCTGCTGTGTTTTGTAAGAAATAATACAAACAAATTATGAAATGCACACGTAACTAACAATACGTGGCGCATTCGCTGTGTTGTTGCCTGGAGTTTCAGTTGGAGATTGAGCCCTTCTAAGTACATTTAGTGGAATTATGATTTTGCAGTTTAACATTATCGAGCGTTGAGACGTATTAATCTACTTTTCTGCATTTTTATAGTGCGTTTATCTATTAAGTTAAACGAAACTGTTGTTTCCTGTTCCCGGCTGTAACTGCCAATTTAAAAATAAATAAATAAAATCATCTCTCCTATATTATAGTAATTTCTGCCGGGATCCGGGAAGTAACGAGACTTTTAAGAACTTGTTCACTGCTGTGGGTTGTAACATTATTTGTTTAGCACAAATTGCTTGGGTAATAATTTATCCAAACTTGTAGACCTTTGAACAGGGCGTGAAGATAAGACCTCCACCAGACTTTTAATTAAAGTGTCTAACGGGTAATTTTATTGCTAAAAAGTACTCTGGAATTTGGTACACACAGACTGAATCCACTTGAAGTATAACACTCTATGTTACTTATTCTACCTACAGCTGCGAGTTGATAACATAATGTTGACGTTCATGAAGTCATGGACTTTGATTTTATGTTTTTTTCAGAATCAGAAATTCGGCTGCTAACGCAATGACAAAACGTTCGCGTAATATCGGCGCAGACGAGATTGATAAGTTGATTTTTATTCAGATTCGGATGTGCTGTGATCTAAAACCTGCACATGATTTGCCCGAATACAGTTCTTACAGTGATAGCAAAGGAAGAATGCCATGATTTAACATGTGAAGCCAAGGGCAAATTGCTTAGGTTACTGTTTCAGTTCCTGGATTGGATCGTATCATCTCACTTCACATCAGTGCAAAATTTTCATTATTTGAACCATTTTGACTAATGTTTACAGTTGAAGTATTTGTTCCGGTAGGGACAACCAGCTACTACGAACAAAATGCTTTATTATTATTTATTTGGCGCTTGAGAATCGAGAAATGTATCCGTAAATCTGGTAAGATAAGAAAGAATGAGACGCCAGGTAGTTTTCGACAATGAACACTCGTTGCACTTGTGAAAAAGGGAAATCCTTGTACTTCGATCGGAGACAAATGACGGACTGGCGCTGGTAGGTTACAATATGACGCGACCTGAACACGAATTTCTGTACTCGGGGCGAATCTGTGCGTTCGAGATCTGTCAGAAGTAAAAGGGAAAGGGATCATAGGGTGGGGGGTTCAGAAAAAAATCACGCATTTTTCATTGTGCAAATATTATTTCCTAGCGGCAGTATTTTGTAACTCGCTGTCTCGTTTCGTGTGTCTGTAATGTCTTTACTTTATACGGTATGTGCGTTTGTTTCCCTTTTGCGTGAAAGCTAGTGACGCGAGGCAAAATGCACAGATTTACTCCGACTACAGTACGAACTAACTATGAGCACACTTTGTGCCTGTTTGCATGAGTACGTCAGCCAACAGCTGTAGATTTACCTAATCTGCATTTGATACTACAGTCATTTTGTGATCATAATTTTCCTTACGTCTCGAAGAAACTCGATATTTTTCTGACAGTTTCTGTGCTGTTGACTAGTCAGAAACGTAACTGTTTGCAGCTTTTATACATATATTCTGTGTCGAAGAAATTATCTCCTATATTACGTTTTAAAGTAAATTATTCCTGAATATTAGCAGTTTTGTTTCATATTCATAAAGTCCCAGATCAGCCCTCAGACAAGTTTTCTTTGATATTTTTCGTGATTTACTTCAGTTCACGAACGACCTCTTACTTTCCAATTCTTGGACACTCATTCTATTTGACAGCATTTTAGAAAACGTTGTTAAATAATTTAAGAATAAACTGACTTCCACGTTTATTTTCAGGTTTGGTGACCAACTACAATGGCAATATGTCAACTAATAATTACAAGTTTTGCTTTGTTTGTTGGAGTTACTGAATCGTCACATCCCTCTGAGAAACCAAATATCATCATCATCTTGGCAGACGATTTGGTAAGACTGTTACACAAGTATGGTGCTTGTTCCCCGCCAGAAAACTTTGACCTTGGCAGTGCGGACCCACGCGGAATCCCGATGGTGGCAGATCTATTGCAAAAACTGATGAATTCTATTTGAGAAAACTTCGCGGACAATTAAATCGTTATAATTTTGACAAAGTCAATGTGTTTCCCCCACGACGTCCGTGAGCTACTCCCAAGGTCATCATCTCTGGAAGGTGTTAATAAAACAGCAGGTTCTGAAGAATCAGACAATTATAAACATATTTATGCGCGCAGTGTGTCCACAAATAAGAAAAACCCTAGAACTTGATATTTATCAGATATAGCTTGAGTTTCTATCGGTGTAGCATATTGTGTTGTCTGTTCAGGGTTGGAATGACGTAAGTTTCCACGGCTCTTCTCAGATACCGACGCCAAATATTGACGCGTTGGCCTATAACGGAATCATTCTCAATAGCCACTATGTACCGGCCCTCTGTACCCCTTCCAGATCTGCCCTCATGACCGGGAAATACCCGACACACACAGGTAAGGTCATTTTCTCGTAATACGTATGGGTTCATATGTTCTCAAAGAATCAAATTTGCTCAAGAATTAGTCATAGCTTTCCGTCTTCGCCCGGGGTATTCTTAAAATAAACTGTAAGCCCATTGAAATAATGAAATTGCTTACCAAACTATTAAGATATTTTTCCGTTGTTCAATGAAGAAAGCATCAAAAGTCTGGAAGAATGTGATGACAGTTTTTATATTAATTACGTTTCTGATGTGTTGTGTCATTTTGATCACTTTATGCATTGAACGGTTTCCACAGAAAAATACAACAGTGAACATGTAAATCGGTTGAACACGATTTCAATTTTTTTTTCTCGAATATATTGTATAATAATTAAGCGTACAAAAACATAACGGGAGGATACTGAAGATGGCCACATAACAGCCGAAATATGTCTAAAGTAGAAGAACCGTCTGTAGAATTAATTATAGTGGACTCCGATTATCCACTGGCGGATTAACCGGGGTCTGTCTGGTTTAAACGAAAATTAAAAATTAATTTAGAAAATCTAGTGTAAAAATTAGAACTTTTAAAAGGAAAATAATACAACAATAACATATTTTATTAGCCGGGTACTCGAAAGAAAGACCACTTGAGAGACCTGAATGTTAAAACAGGTTTTAAAGAAATGAGGCGTGACACTGTAGATTGCATTCATCTAACTCAGCCTCTTTCGAACACAGTGATGAGCCCTCGGATTCCACAAAATTAGAAAAACGTTCTTTGTCAGCTAATCAACTATGAGCGTCTCCTCAAGAAAGATTCCGTGATGTTATTTAATCCATAAAGTGTACAGCTTCAAATTGTGATGTCCTGAGTTCTGATACATGTAGTATAGAAGGTGATTACCAACATTTCAGAGTTTCATACTGCCTCCATCTTAAGATGGTCTAAATTTTAACCTCCTACATGCTGTCACAACCCACAATCTGAACAAACACTGCCATGAAAACCTGAATTCGCATGAAGAATATTAGTGTTTAGATTATGTTGTTTTCTTCAGGCATGCAACACTTGGTGATTCTTGCTCCCGAACCCTGGGGTCTGCCTCTGTCGGAAACGCTCATGCCTCAGTACTTGAAGGCAGCAGGATACGCAACTCATGCAGTGGGAAAGTGGCATCTTGGTTTCCATCGCAGAGAATACACACCAACATACCGTGGATTTGATTCCCACTATGGCTACTGGAATGGATACCACGACTATTATGACCACACTATGAGGGCAACGGTAATTGACAACCAGTATCTTATTTTATGATACTTTGTCTACTCCATGTAAAACATATAAATTATAACATGGAAAAAGAATGGGGATTGCGTTGTCGACGAAGGTAATGGGTTATGTGATCAGTGACTGGAGTTTGCTTCCCAGCAGAGATCAGAATTGTCTCCAGACGGGCTCTCGGTCCAACCAACATCCGGTTCAACAGAAACTAGAGGCTATTTCTCCAGTGGTGAAGATACAATTTATCTGCATCTAGTAACGACGTTAAGTTCGTGTGTAACTAAGCCTTCACATACTGCTGACATGGTGCTTAAACATAGGAAGACTTTTTCAAAATAAGAAACATTCATGTACTTGGGATCAGTAATAGCAAACAGAAATTATATTCAAGTAGAAATATTAAAATTTTATTCAGAATGTTTTATTTTCATTATCAGTAGACTTACAAGTTGAAGTATAAGAAACACTGATGTTTGCATGGATGATATGGATGTGAAACGTAAAACCTGGTCTCTCACCATTTCGGAAGCAATAGACTGAGAATGAGAACAAAGTATTAAGGAGAATAAATGAACACAAACAAGAAGAGATAACAAAGGACTGGAGAAATATGCATTATAAGGAGCTTTACAATTTATACTCTTTGACAAATTCTATTAGGCAACTAAGCAAACATTACAGTCAAGTGTTATCACACCTGATTCATATTTGGGAGATTTATTTCAAATCTTAACCTGGTGACCAGCAGTCCTGGCCGATGTGTTTGTGGTTTCCCTCAGCCACTCCCCCCCCCACACACACACACACATACATACACAAAGATAGTACCTTAAATTAGGCCATGACAGTTTCATTTCATATATTTTCCAGTTTATAATTCATTAATCATCGTATCATCTTGTGCTAAAAATCTGAGCTACCAAAATTGTTGTTCAATAAACCAGAAATGAATAAATAAATAAATACCATAAAGTGATCACATTGAATAGTATGAGGTGGACAGTATGTGTGAGAGATGAGGAACATGTACAAAATTTTGATCTGAAAACCTGAAAGAACTTGGGGATTGTACATGCAAAATGAGAGAATAAAATTAAAATGGATCCTGCAGAATTAAGATGTGAGGGAAGGTTGATTCTCTTCCACGTGGCTGGTGAGTTTGTCAGTCATTTGAAATTAATCTGTGTTTTCAGCTTGTGCCATACAAGGGATACGACATGCGCCGGAACATGACCGTGGACTGGCTTTCCCGTGGACAGTATTCTACTGATTTGTTCACAAATGAGGCTGTACATATAATAGAGACACATGACAGTCAGAAGGGACCATTATTCCTCTACCTATCACATCTAGCACCGCACACAGGCAATCCGGAGGATCCATTTCAAGCTCCAGATGAAGAAGTAGCAAAATTTGCATACATTGAAGATCCAGAAAGGAGAATGTATGCAGGTAGATATTCTTAGCTTTACAGAATAACACAGTCATGTGATGTGATGGAATAACGTTCTTTAGACTCAAGAAATCAGGAAACAGTGTAGGCTTCCTGCTACAAAAATATGTTTTTGACATAAAATACTAAATTTATTTGTTTCCATGTCTCTTGCTGTCCCCATTCCTCCTCCAACTTTTTTGCATTAACTGCAAAGAACTCATAATAAATAGATCTGTAAGACATAATGCCACAAAAAACACTTTTTTAAAATTTTGTAACTTTGTATTACAGTCCTCTCAAATCACAATGATACTTTTTCATGTGGCTTTGGCAAATTTTTTCCCTTCGATAAAATGTTATCATATTTATCAGTTTACTAAAATAAGGTTCAAAACATACAATTACACAGTTGTTGTTTTTTTTCCCCCCCAAAAGCAATCAACAAATTACACTCCCTGATGATAAAGACAGACTGTTGGAAATTTATTCCAAGCCGACATGGCTACTTGCCTAAGATATCATTGCACTAATTTACAACCTATTTTAGGCCCACATAGAGATTATTAAGAGTTCTATGACAGAAATGTTGCACTGTAAATACACAGACAGTTTATATTTGTCCTAGAATGTTGATCATAGTGTGTCAACAAATTTTCTTACCAATTTCATATTAGGCTGGCTTCTCAAAGTACTGCCAAGAATTTACACAGTTGTGTACATTGTCCCATCCCTGTAGCATAGAATTTTTAGGATGCATTTGTAGACAATAGATGAATCGAGAGACATTGAAAATTCTGGGTAACATTTTCCCCTGCCCTCATACCATTCTACTTAATTGCATTTTGACGTGTAACAAGTTTGAATAGTTCATAGTTATATTTCGATTCACAATCTGTCAAGACTGACAGGCAGCTCACTGCATCTTTATTAATTCCTGTGCTTCGGGTTATCCCAAATAAATGATTGTAAATACATTAAATATGTGGTTGACTCTGCCACTTTGGAAGAATCACATAACCAAATTTGTACAAGAATGTAAAAGATAGTAGTCAATTTGACAATAAGAACTTCTGAAAAGTTATTACATAGTAAAATTTTAAAATACCACATTTCATTATAGGTACTGATAGATATTTGTTTCTTGTTGACAGCAATGGTATCGAAGTTGGACCAATCAGTTGGCGAGGTAATGTCAGCCTTGAGAACAAACGGAATGCTTCACAACTCTATTGTGTTATTCATGTCTGATAATGGGGCACCCACATTTGGTGTTCACTCCAACAGGGGATCAAATTTTCCACTTAGAGGGGTAAGTTAAATTAACTTTTTGTGAAAGTGGTATTCTCCTTAGAAGGAAGATTTTCTTCAAATAGTCGAATGGTATAAATGCTGATAATTATTTTTAACTAAACCAATAAATTTCAGTCAAAATATAAATCCCTTTATGTTTTCAGTTAGGAACATAATTAATTCCATGTAGCACAATCCATTTTATAAGGTAAAAGTTGCTAGGCATGTTATGAAATTCCCCCACTTTTATGGATGGTCCAGCAGTTTTTTCACGAGAGTCCGCTGTTTGATGGGAAGCCTTGAGTGAAGGGGCAATGTGGCAGTTTTAGATGAATATTTAGAATAATATCAAAATGCATATTTTTAAAATAAGGTGAGAATATGAACACTAAATTGAGCTAAGATGTGATGGAATCTAATGAACGGTTTTTGTGAAAAGAGCTATGTATCTTTAGAATCCATAAAAACAAGATAGGCTCTGTGCTGTGGTGTGGCTTATTCAATTAGTATTAATGACTTTTTTGTTAACTAAGATGTTTGTGTTAAAGTGGAAGGAAAAACTAAAGACATGAAAATCTGTTTACAGTTTAAGACAGGTGAGATAACTAGCCCACAGCTATAGTCTGAAAAGTTGTGGTTACCGGAGCTTGCTCCGAATCAAGACCATCGACTGATGCTTCTATTTTGAGTTATGACATCTGTTCTTTGTGTTAAATGGCTATGTTTTACTAAACTTCCAAATGAAAATTTAATTGGCATTCAGCTAGTTAACTTACTAAACTATTCTGGTTCAAGTATCTCATAAAATACCCCGTGTTTTTAAGATGAAGGAGAGCCCTTGGGAAGGAGGTGTTCGGGGTGTTGCTGCCCTCTGGAGCCCCCTTCTGCAGTCTACTCAACGAGTCTCAAATCAGATGATGCACATTGCAGACTGGCTGCCCACATTCTATTCTGCTGCAGGTACATTCAATCATTGTTCATTCTTTATAAGTGATTCAATTAAATTATTGTTTTTCAGCTGTCATAATTTGGACCTGTGGTTTATTATAATTCAGATATCATTCAGAATCTATAAATTCTTATACATCCAGTAAGACTGCAAAGAAGGGATTTGCCCATCACAAGGTTTTTACCTACGCTGGGCAACAACAACAATGAGAACACAGAAGAACATGGACACACATAAATACCTCAATCTGGATTCGAATCTGTGAACCCACTGACAAATTCAAGATCATGTACATTATATTTAGCATTAAATTATTCTTTCATAGCACATTTAATAACTTCATCTGCACAGACTCTCCTTGCTGAGTCTCAGTAGTTATACATCCAACCATTCAATTATCATCACTCCATTGGTTGTTATTCTGATTCAAGCATCCCATCTTCAGAAGGCAGAGAAATTTGTTATATTTTGCTAGATACTTATCTACACATGTCTACCCAGCAGTGACTCTGCCAGCGTGGCAGCTAAAGCAGCTGCTTTGCATGAACCCCTGGCATTTGATTGAGCTCTAAACAGTGATGTCTGTGCCTTCTTCCATTGCACTGTTCTGTCCAGTACTCAGTGCAACAAACTGTATGTGGTGAAGCCATCAGTATTGGTGTGGCACTCATACTTTGATTCCATCAGGAAAAAGAGGGGCATGCTTATATGTCTCTGCATCAGTCACACTCGCCTAACACATGACAATTTATTGCATGGTTAACTGGCACCTGTCTGTATTAAAAATGATGTACCACTGACTGTCACATTTTTTTGTGGAATGATCACTTTATGGTGAAGCCACCTTGCATTCAATCTGAATGGCACTTTTTCTGACATATATGGTGATGATCACTATAGAGTTTCTAATTTCTTAGCTTTTCTAAATGCAAGAGGACTTGCTAAGTCAATTTAACAGACACAGTTTTATGTTAGTTTTTATTTTTTCTCAGAAGAGACTTAAGAACACTTATTTTATTGATTTAGCACATATATACTGCCAGGCCCTTCAACAAACTGGCAAATAAAGTTTTAATGAACAACTATGTTTTACTAACACTGCTGTTTTAATATTGATCCCATGGGAAAATCCCTGTACAGCCTGGCCTGTGGTTATTATACTATTTTCTTATTGTAGTTGTTATTACTTTTTAGTAAGCTTTCTTGCCTCTGCGCATTTGCATGTGGGTAAATCATGCCAGGTTTTGTAACACAGCTCGCTTTTTTAATTCTTAAATAGTAGATAGGTAGAAGTAGCCATAGAAGCTGATGTGTCTGTAAGCCCACAAACAAACAGACACAGACACACAGTACCACTTGCAGAGATTATTTAGCAAAACTTGAGACATGAAATGATTGTGTTGTGTAACTGTTTGATATTATTGTCTGAGGTTATGTTTGATGCACATAATTCTTCAGGATCTGTATCTGTTTACATATTCAAAGGGTTACATATCATTATAATGATTGGTATTTGTATTTCTGTATTTTGGTTATTATTGGCATGGTTCACGATAAAATACCCTAACCCTTCAAACAGTAATCTTGTATTCTGGACATCAGCATATAAATTAAACTTGCCCCAGACAAGATTCCATGCTGAGGAATATCAAACACTTCTGTGATGTATAATTTTAGGGTTTAAATTCCCAGTGAAAGAACTTTTTCAACTGCATTTTCGCTGTTTGTTCAATTATTTGTGATGTTTTGTCAATACAAAGTTATACATATAAAGTAATTAGAGTTACATCTACAACATCATCAATACTATAGAGGCCTACAGACAAAAGAAAGCACTTTTCAAAATACGATTTCGCACAGAAAGAATTAGTGGGAATATAATGTTTTTCTGTGAGATTTACCTGCAAAATGGTACAAATGTGAAGTATATATACACAGTATTTGACAAATAAAGACTGTGGTTTCCTTAAATTTTGTAATATTTGTTTGTACTATTCAAGGTCTAGATGTACATGAACTGGGTGATATTGATGGGATTGACATGTGGAAGGCTCTCTCGGAGGACCTACCATCACCACGAATAGAAGTTCTCCATAACATAGATCCTATTGAAGATTATGCATCCTTACGAAGAGGTGACTGGAAATACATTGCAGGTAAAAGGATTCTGTCTGAATGAAAGATTGCCAAAAATAAGTTAGCATGATTTCTATATTGTGAAGTATGATAGAAATATCTTTGATTGTTTTGTTCATTATCAATCAACATTTTAACTTGGAACGTTGACTTTTGACAAAGTATTCACCATTTTTCTCTGCCGTCCCATAATCTGTATCTGTCTTTAATCTGTATCCACTGTTTCCATACTGTTTTGTATATCATCCACTCTTGGTTTCTCCAGCTTGTTCTTGGTTCCCTGTTGGTAAGTTTTTCAAATTTATTTCTGATTGTCCCAAAGGAATCCCATTATCATTCATGTGAGAAAAATGTCTACACCACTAATTAACTAACCAGATGGTTTACAGAACTCGAAGGTTCATCACCAAATTAACCAAAGCCCCTGTTCTGGACCAACAAAATCCAGTCGCCTTCAACTCCTATCTCCCATAGATCCTGGTTGGGCATGAGGCTAACAACCTTTAACTGTAAAAAACTCTATTGTTACAAAAAAGCTAACAAAGCCTCGGAAACAGACGGATTCTTTGGCATGATCATGGCAATTGACCATAACACTGTATCCTCAATTTCATTAATTCTTCAAATGGAATTTCCACTTCAGATTTTGTCTGTGTCCTAGTTTTGGACTTTATTTATCCATTGATTAATTTCTGGCTTATTTAATAATGCTTGCTTGATCGTATGGTTTATGTAACATTAAATGAATTGATTCATTGTGAACAACAAATCTGAAAGGGCTTAGAGGAGAGGCAGTCATGGCCTATTTGAAGGCACTGTTCCATAATTATCGTAAAGAGATAGAGGAAGACCACAAAACAAATTGTTCAAAACAGCTAGACTCCAGGTTATCGCTTCATTTTATTTCTTAATATTCTGTAGGAAATTTATTTATCTCCACCCTACTGTTTGTAATCTTCTGACTTCATGTTTGTCTCTTGTCAGTGTTGGTATTTTTGTAACCTACTGTGTTCTTTGTTCAAAATATTTGGTAAATGCTGCATTAAAGAGAATAAAATATCACACAAAATTCTGATCCATTCTTTATCTTTGTTACACATGAAGGCACTACTCAGGAAGGAAAAACAGATGAATGGTACGGTGAATCTGGTCAGGACAGTGAGGGCAAGTCACACAGGTATGATATGGAAGCAGTGTTGAATTCAAAAGTTGGAGTTACCATAACAGGATTCCTCACTAAACTACAACTCCAGGCAAAGAAACTGGAAAGGATGTCAGAAAATGAGATTTCAAAGAAAGGTAAGTGCAAACGTGTACACTATAGCAATTATATATTTTCCAAACTGGTATCAAATAAATATCATGATGCAAAACAAAACTTCATAAATGAGAAATTAACTTTTCATAATTGTCAGAGTTCAGATTGTGAACTGTTGTAATAATAATAATAATTAGCACTGTGTAGTCTTGGTGGTCACCAGCATTGTAGAGATGCATAAAAATGGAGGCAGTGTGTTCCACTTAAATAAGGACTGAATCTCAAGAGAAATTGATAAGTTATGAAGTTAGGAAGTAAATGAAACTGGCTCATGATCATGTCCAGTTTTGGGCTTTGGTATTAATGATGTTGAACTTGTAGTTTCTGCTACCAGATATTGTATAGTTAGTTGATATTGAAGGGTTAAAGGACTATTGTAATATATTTTCAGGTGAAGGAAGCATTAAACGACTGAAGCTGCTGTCAGAAACAGCAGTAGCTTCGCTGCGACACCAGGCAGAAGTTCATTGTATTCAAAAGAGTGGCCACACCTTTTTAAATAATTCAAGTTCTGAGATAGCCTGCCGGCCACGGGAAGCACCCTGTCTCTTTAACGTCCGTGATGATCCATGTGAGACCAAAAATCTGGCACACGCTCGACCACTCATTCTCCACAGTCTTGAGGAGTCTCTCGAACGGTTCAAGGAGACAATGGTAAAGCCTCTAAATATTCCTGGAGACCCAGTGTCAAACCCCATTTACTGGAATAACACATGGGTAAACTGGAAGGATGACAATGTTACTCCTGATGACAGTATAACAGTATTACCTTTACCAACAAGTCCTGTAACAACATTGTCCTTCACAACAGTCCTCTCTTTGGTGATAATGCTTTCCATTATTGCTGCTGCTGTGAAACTGTCAGTCAGTGACACACCACAGAAAAGTTACTTTTCATCTGCATTCCTCATAAAAGCCAAGGATGTAGATATAAGCAGTGATCAAAAAGAAGCACTGCAATGATCAATAACTGTAAGGTTATAAGAGTCATTTATATGATTCACTTTGTAACCTTGTAACACGCAGTATTCTTCAAAGTGAATTTTGATGATTAATATGAGACATTCTGGAGAGACGTCACAGTGTTCACTTTCCTTCAAATCCTTCAGTCTTCTTTGATAAGGGTAGCAAGAATAATAAATTAATGATAATTAAAAAATTTAGTGATCCATTGTTTTGTTCAGTGGCAATTATCTCAAAAGGTACCAGCTCAGTTCAAAAAGGGTTATTCATCAGACCCAGGAAACCACATTACTAAGTTGATTGTTTTTTTTTAATTAGTTTAATTCATTGGGTGGCAAAGTTTTCTTTGGATATACATGGTGATTTGAAGAATCGTGATAAACTTTGTGGAGTAAAAAGAAGCCCTGTTAATATGCGTCTGATTTAAAAAGTTTAAGAATTCATAACAGAAAGTAAACTAAAGATACACCAAAAATAAATTTTTATAAAAGAATTTCACAATAACTTAGTGTGTTCAGTGTTAAACAGAAATAGGTGTTATCTAATAATTAAACATGACAGTGTATCGATGATTGCACAGTGTTGCCAGCCACTTCAACAGTATACTGTATGGTAAATATGCTATGCTCAAATTTGTATTTAAGTCATGGTGGACACTGAACAGTTCTCAGGTGTTCCCTAATGCTTTATTATGAGCAAATAACACCTCATGGGCCTGTTCACATCTGTCTGTCACTTGTTCATCACATTACAACATTGACCTTGGTTCACATGTTAAAACAGTGACCTCAGATTACATTATTGTAACAATGACTTTGGATCACATGTATATGTCTAGGATTCTGCTAGGTCCACGTTGCATATACATTGGTCATTTGGATCACCTCTCAAATCAGTACATGAAGATAGAGACAGTCTCTGAAACACAAAAATTTACTTCATATCAACATGGCTGATTGACCAAAGAGACTTCATCAAATAAAATATCGCATTTGTAGTAGTTTTACTGCAGCATTAAAGGATGCCATACAGAAAGCCTTACAAAAATAGTAATTATGATTAGGATATTTCAATCCATTGAGATACTGTATCTTCATCTGTGTAACAGCTGCAATTATAATGGTACCACAAACAGACTTTAGGCATATGTAGAATTTGATGTGTCTGCGGTGTAGGAGAGAGAATTAGAGGTCTGCACAGGCCAAAATTTTAGAATTTCAACCAGTCCAGTCCGAGCCCAAAGTTCATCTTCAAATATGTTAATCATACCCCACCTAAGCCCAACTTCAGTTTATTCCAGCCTGAAAGAAGCCCAGTGTATTTACAATTGGCCCTGACTATTGTATCATTTATACAGGTCTTTTAATTCATAAATACCAGTAATCTTTAAATAAATTATTTAACAACTCTCTAAGAACATCCGATGTTATTTTGGCATTTTAGGAATGGTTCAAAGATACTGAATACAAAGCATGGGAGGTATTATATCAAAATATTTCTGGAAGGAGGCAGCTACAAAATTCCATGAGAAAATGAAGTCACTGGTATTTCTCTCAGGAGCCTGGCTGTATCATGAGCTTAAGATGAATAACTTTCTTTTTGCTTGAAAAAAACAAACAAAAACTAACTAAAATGGTCTATATAACATTTTCTTGCTATCATTTGAACCAGGTCTGAATCTCAACATTATCAGGCTCATGCAGACATCTAAAAGAAAAATTTGGCCCTAGCATTAAACCTTGTTACAAGAAGCACCATTTTGCATTCTTGTCTTCTTAAACAGCACCCTGAATGGCTGCAGAAGGACTGTGTCTCCACAATCAAAGTCTTACACAGTGTAGCTCACACTTTCATTCAATGATGTCTTGATTGAAATTTGGATAGTGATTTAATATGTGTTCAGGTAATTTTGCTTATGGTACTGCTACAGGTCTAGGAAAGTGCAATAAAATGAGAACTTCCCAAATAATGATTTTATCTGGTCATTTATAAAAATTACAAGCAGCAGAGATAAAGTAATGAAGAAAAATTGATGGAATCCAAAAATACATCAGAAAAATAAAACAGAAATACTAAAGAAAAGGTTATCAGATTAATTGTACAGTGGTATCCAATAATTAGTTGATGTTGGCAAGAAAATACTATGATTTTCTTTTTTTCTCAGTGACATTGAACTGTTATGATGACAAAAAATTTCATCATGTTTTATCCTGTACTTGAGAATTGTAACTAGTCAAAATCATTTTCTTTTCTGTTTCATTCCATTTTATGTATGTCTTTGTGTATATATATGTTGTTATATAAATGTATATAGTTCAATACAAGAATATGAAATGTTTATGATTCTTAAAATGGTTGTTCAATGCCCTGCAGGAGATGCATATGCTATACCGTTAAAGAGAATGAGGATGGTTACATCACTGACTAATCAATGCCCAAGTTATTTTAAGATGAGTTTTCTATTGAATAAGTTATGCAACTTTAGATATTATTGTGAATTATTAATGAGAAATTATATGAAGGGAAACAGTTATGGCCCATTTTAAGGATCTAAACAGTCGAAGGACTGATGGAAGCCATCAATTGAAAAGTCTCAAGATAGTAAATCACTGGGCCAAGACTCATATCCAGGATCCACTGAATATGGAAGGAAATGTAACTGATACATTGCAACATTTGGTATTGTCATTGACGTCAATCAGTGTATATACACCAAGGGCAGAAAATTCATGTTAGCTGTTTTAGTCCAGCTCATACTCTGATAAATGAAAAATAAAAAGTCTTACTTTAGTGAATCAGTGGTATTCCATAAACTGGAACACAGCAGAACTAATCAAATAAAATGCATTATTATCCAGTCAAACCAGCCCATCACAGGCATTATTAACCAGGCTGTTCAGGCTTACTCATAAATAACCTTCACCATCTGTGTAGGCACAATTAGGAGAGACAATGTAACATTAGCTTTAGGAGTAGAGGGATCATGCAGCCTTCCAAGCTAAGATGTTGGTCAAACATCAACTGTAAACATGCTAGTTTTGCATGCCGGTGGTTGCTGGAGAGCTTTGTACGTTTCTTACGATTTTAATTGCATAACCTTTGTTGTATTCCTGTACCATGTTGTGACTTGAGTTGTACTTCATGGAAGATTAAGTACAACATATGGAAATCATATTTCTATAAACGAATATTTTATTAGGCAAATATGACCAAAATAGAGATTCATATGTCTTTGCTGGAATGAAGAATGGTAGTCTGCCCAGCAACATA